TGAGCACGGGAGGAAAAAAGTAAAAGCCTTGACCCTTTATAAAGAGGGTGAATATCAAGCGTCCTCCTCGTTGCCGTTTGGGACTTACCTAGAATCTAGGAGTCCTAGGCGTGGTTGGGTTACCCACGCCCGTATTGATGAGAATCCCGTAATAAGGGGAACACGATCTCTGCTTTGACAAGACATATCAAGAAACTGCCTTGTGTTATGTGCGGGGCTAGGTAGAGAAAAACGGTTCGAATAATCGTCATGGCATGATGTCATGTTGCCTAAACGTGTCAGCAGATTAGATTTGTGGAAATATTATTCTCTCTACGGTGGTATGTGGAACTTATTTTGCAGGGTCGGACACTATCCTTTATTTAAACTCTTCTGTGGTGTATCCGGAGGAGGAACCCGCCTTGCAATGCCGAAGACAACACTGCGCGTCGGACTCATCGTCATTGAAGCCTGGTTCAGGGGCTACTGAGGGAGTCCGGGATTAGGGGGTCTCCGGACAGCCGGACTCCATCCTTTGGTTGGACTGTTGGACTATGAAGATACAAGATTGAAGACTTCGTCTCGTGTCCGGATGGGACTCTACTTGGCGTGGAAGGCAAGCTAGGCAATACGGATATGTATATCTCCTCCTTTGTAACCGACCTTGTGTAACCCTAGCCCCCTCCGATGTCTATATAAACCGGAGGGTTTTAGTCCGTAGGACAACATACAATCATACCATAGGCTAGCTTCTAGGTTTTAGCCTCTCCGATCTCGTGGTAGATCAACTCTTGTAATACCCATATCATCAAGAATAAATCAAGCAGGATGTAGGGTTTTACCTCCATCAAGAGGGTCCGAACCTGGGTAAAACACCGTGTCCCCTACCTCATGTTACCATCCGCCTTAGACGCACAGTTCGGGACCCCCTACCCGAGATCCGCCGGTTTTGACACCGACAAAGGGCATTTATGACATTTCATGTCGGGTTGCCCCCTGGCTATAAATAGCCGCCCCCACAACCACTTGTTGGTTGGCTGCTCTAGAGAGAACTTGACACTTTTCATTTGAGAGCAACCCACCCACTGACGACTTTGAGAAAACCCTAAGTAAGGAAAAAAACCAACCAGAGCCAAAGTGCTTGAGCATCACTAAAGAGATTGATCTGTGTGATCCGACGCCTGTTACCTTTGAAGACTGTCATTCTTCCAGACGGTTAGGCGTTATGTTTTGAGCACCCAAAAATCATTGTGGTGTTCCTGTGAACAAGTCTGTGAAGATTTTGGAAGTCTGCCTTGAAAACTTACCATGAGTGATTCGGCGAGGTCTAAGTGACCTTGGCTCAAGAGGATTACGGTGAGGACTAAGTGTCCTCTGAGTTAATCTCAGCCGCCTCAACCAGACGTACAATTGACACAGCAACTGAAATTGGTCTACCAAATCGTTGTGTCTTCACCGAGACTACCTGGTCTCAAATTCCTCACCTTACCTTTATGGTATTCCGCTGCTGAAGATTTTGTGATCTATGTTCTAAAGAATTTGAACTGAAGATTTTCATCATACTATTTTTCATTTCTTCAATTCATCTTTCTCATGCTTGTATGCTTGTATAATTGCATGTTTTTTCATGTTATTCACCTATATGTATACCGTATGCATGCTCTCCATTACTGTGATGAATTAGATGTCTCTCGTTTCTATTTCTTCACTCTGATCTTTGTCAAATTCATCAGAATTTGAAGAATTTCTAAAAATCTCTCATTTACACCCCCCCCCCCCGGAGTAAACCTGCGCTTTCACATACCCCGAAGGTATGTTGTAAATTCTTTTTAGAACTTTTTGGATTGTTTAAATATGAAATTTGGGGGCTGATAGTACAATCTCGCCTAAAAGGCAGACCCTATGCTAGTCTCCCTCTGTCTCATCCGCGAACTGCTTTGCTATCATGTCAGAACATTATATTGCAAGTTATCAATATGGACTACGCACTGACCGGGCTGGCTGTATAGCTGCAGCTAACCATGTCTAGAGGTGGTGTTTCTGTTCTCGAGCTCAAATGAGCTTGAACTCGGGTGAACAGTAAAATTCAAGAAAAAAATCAATTTGGTGCAAACATTGACAAATTTGAGTGCTCACAAAATTTCATTGTGAAATGTCACTTGCGAAAGTCATGGCAAAAACCCAAAATCGATGCTTCAAAAGTGTTATTCTCAAAAGCATTTTGGAGTGCTGATTTTGCCTTTTTTTTTGCCACGACTTCTACGGATGTCATTTCACAATGAAATTTTGCAAGCACTGAAACATTTTTTCGAAGTTCACCACAAGAAAAAAAATCATCATTTTTTGAATTTCTTTTCATTTTTTGCGATTTTACCGTTCAGCGCGTGCTCAGGGGAGGCCGCGAGCAGAATATGACTTTGGACCATGGCTGAACTTTACAGTGCAAGCTATCGTCGCAACAAGAGCTTAAAGATTTTATTACGAAAAAGAAAGATGAAACACCACTGGCAGCACCGTACACATTGTTTTGATGAACACCGCCACGCTACGGCTGGAACGACAAGACGGCAGACAATGCGAGCCGCCGGCCGCAGGGGACTCGACACGTCGACGGATCTTTCACCGCGGGTAAACGAGTAGCGACTGCCGAGGTGTCGACGTCCCCGACGTCCCGCGGCCCAAATCCTGGCTCGGGTGGGGGTAATTAATCCCGGGGCGACCAAAAGTCCCGGGGCGAGCCAATGGGAACTCGACAGACTAGCCCCGGTGACGGGGACCGGGAGTGAGAGCTACGTGCGGGCGGGTGACAAAAAGGACGCGCCCAGCTAGGCTGGCCAGCGATGGGGCTTGAGTTCACAGGGACATGCCGCACTCTGCCGCGGCCATGCACCACCGATCCGTCCATTTGACTGTCTCGTCGTCGTCGCACCGGATAAAAAGACAGCTGGAAAACTCGCCCGCCTTTCTTTTCCGCTTCTCCGGTTCCATCGCGCACGTACGCAGGAGTACATGACGGCATGCGAAGATTGGAGCTTCCGTGCAAATGTTCCCGGTGAGCTATCTGGCTAGTACGTAGCTAGCTAGGCCCGCTGTGTATGGTTGGTCACGGTCACGGCTTTAGTGCAGGAACAGGAGTTCCATGTTTATGCCTTCCCTTTGCGATCTGAGCATGATGAAACCGTGTAAATTCTACAACATTATTGAGAAAAAAACAGTGTAAATTTTCATATTAAAAAACAGTGTGAAGTTCCGGTGAGCTACGCTAGCTAGCTAGGCCCGCTGTGTATCATTGCATTAAGGAAGAAGCGGCAAAGAAGACGAGTACAACGCCTTTCAGTCATTACAACGTCAATCTCGAGAATTAGCAACCACACCCGCCACTCACAAGAACATATTAATGTTCAAACTAGTTTACGACATGTTGGCCCTGCCTTTCAGACTGGATTGGCAGTGATTTAGTATGCAGTTGATGTTGTAAACACCGCATAGGGTTTCGACAAGAAATG